AATTTATATAATATATATTTATATAATAATAATTTATATATTATGTATTTTTAATTTTACCTATCTTGTAAACCCGCTGGCCCTGCATTAGTTCTTACTACCGGGCCTTTAATGGCCATTTTATGGTACTTTAAAGTAATTCGATTCACTGACAGAAGCGGAATTATAACGAGCCATTGCTGGAACTGCTGGCTGAGTGTTTGGCGGCCTTGTGGCGGCCAGAGTGACCTATAGGTAAAGGTCCATTGGCGGGTGCCACACTTGGACCGTTGTCGAACGTTCTGGTAAAAATTGCATTGGCCAGAGTAACCCCATAACGTTTGTGTTTACTGGGGCAGTGGTGAAATGTAAATCATATGGTACTAAATAGCGACAAATGTCAGGTTATCAATTTTAGCAGAAAGTTAAAACCAACAATACCTCAATACATAATTTATGGTAAAGATCTCAAAGTTGTGTCTACTATTAAAGACCTAGGAGTCATACTTGATTGTAAATTATCTTTCATTTATCATTACGAATATATAATATCGAAAGCTGGTAAAGTGTTAGGCTGTATAAAAAGATTTACTAATGATTTTAGCAGTATTCGTACTATAACTTCTTTATATAGCATTTGTAAGGTCTGGAGTATGGCTGTATAATTTGGCTGTAATTTTACGTACCGCATATTGATCGAATTGAACGTATCCAAAAAATATATATTAACTCTCTTAAATATAAATTACCGATAAACATTAGAAATTCTTATAATTTATGTCTATGTTACCTTGGTCTGAAGGAGTTGGACTCTCGTCGAAAGGTTCATTGTGTTTGTTTGTATATAAGTTATTAAATAATATGTGTGGTGCACCGAACATTCTTGAAAAAGTTAGTTTTAATGTTCCTCAATATCATCTACGGAATGCTCCTTTATTTGATATTCCTCACTGCAGCACTAATTATGCTTTATTTTCACCATTGAATACGTATAAATAACGTTTCATTTTGCTTAGCTTAGCCAGTTGCTCATAGTAGTTGCTCACAGATAATCGCATAAAGTCAGTTGCCTGTTAGATAGTGCTTATTGTAAAAAATTAAAAATAAAAGTTTGTTTTTTTAATAATTCCTTCAATCAAAAATCTTACATTGGCGCAGTCAGTCAGTAGGATTTCGTGGGTTTTTCGTGAATCAAAAAAGTGTCGAAAAATCGGTGGTCCAGCACCTAACCACGGAACCGTTGCCCAGAAAATAATTAAAGTGCCATTTTTCAAACAAGAAAGAAAAGTGCTTCGTTGCTCCAGACTTGCGACCGCTTTCTAGACTGGAGCTACCGAATAAGTACAATTTTCAAGAAAAGGAGTCTGAATTGCATCCTGCGGCACCTTTCCAGAACGGTAATCCAAGACACCGAATACAATGGTTCAAGAAAGAATCAATCTTATACTGTAAGTCGTTTATGTTCATTGTCTTACTTACCTTGAAATAGCGACAATTTTTCTATCTCTACCATTCCTAATAAAAAAGGATATTGCAGAGTTAAATCAATTAAATAAACGAACAAAAAAATGGCTCTTAACTTTAAAGATTTGAAGGATCTCATTTCAGAATATGACGGGGGTCAAGAAACTCTTAACGATTTTATTAAAGCGTGCGATTTTGCATCTGAAAATATAGCTGAAAATTTAGAAAACGCGTTACGTTTAGTTAACGCGTATTTGCAGTAAAATCAAAATTAACAGGCGATGCGAAAAAATTCATAAGTTCTCAAAATTTGCCTGATTGGGAATCAATAAAAGAATTATTGTTAGGACATTATGGAGACTGTAGAGACACAGAAAGTTTGCTGCGTGATCTCACATCCGAATTTCAAAAACCAAACGAAACTGCAAGAAAATTTGTCCAAAGAATTGAAGATTTATTAACTCGTGTACGTAGTACTGTAGCGCTAAACCCTCATTTAAATGCTGGTGCGAGAGCTGCCTTAAACGTTTCTCATGAAAAAATTGTTTTAAAAACAGTCCTTTCCGGTTTAAGCGAACCTTTCGGTTCAATTATTCGTTCACAACGTCCGAATTCACTCGAAACTAGAGCGCAATATTTAATGGAAGAAGAAAACATTGCATGTTTAAAATCATTCAGATTCTCGAAACAACAAACAAAAAATTCTCAAATGAATAACATTCTAAAAGCCAATTTCGGTTTACAAAATCAAAAGGTCGATCAAAAATATTGTTATTATTGCAAAAAAGTCGGTCATTTGTCAACACAATGTTATCGACGAAACAATCAAAATCAAACTCAGCGTCAAAATTCGGGTTATCTAAATTATAATGGACCTGGTTATACATCAAATTATCGATCCCAAAATCATAATCAATAGAATAAACCATCAGTCATTCAACCCAATCCAAATTATCATCGACACTAAAATTATCAAAATCAACGAAATAATAATAATAGAGTTCATTCTTCTTTAAACTCTCAAACGGAGACGGAATTCCGGGACGACCGTTCTCCAATTTTCGAAACGTCCCAAAACCACCAAAACAAAGACAATATCAAAATTTCGACGGATCAGCTTCAGGAAGAAATCGATTCCAAACTAATGAACCAGTTCGAAAAATTTTCGTTAAATTAAACACACTTGCGACGCAAAATCTTTATTACGTCAAGGACAAAGCAGGTGTACAATATCTTATCGACACAGGAAGTCCCATTTCCTTTGTTAGATATAACGCGATGAAAGATCGTTTAAATCCAAAATCAATAAAAAATGAAAATTTAGTAGTTAACGAAATATTTTCTGATCAAACCGTTACAATAAATAAAAGTGTTGAAATATTAATGATAGACCACACACCTCATAAATTTTATTTACTCGATGATGGCTATTTAAATTTTGACGGACTATTGGGTTCTGACTTTTTCTCAAAATTTAAATGTGTCATAGATTAAGAAAAAATGAGCGTAAAAACTAACTTCGGTACTGAAATTCCTCTATATCTCGATGAAAATTCCAACGAGATAACATTCAAAAGTACTGCAAATTCTTCAGCACCCTCACATAAAGATAATAAACAACAGTTCTGTTCATAAAACCTTGGATAAAACGCAAATGAATAATATCATTATTAAAGCTCCTCCACGTGCAATTACGACAATCAAAATACCAGTTCAAAATCCTCAAAATTTAAAAGAAGCATTTTTACCCGAAATTAAAATTGATAATCATACAAAAATACCAAACTCTTTAGTTTCGATAACTGAAAAAAATGAAACAATCAGCACAATTTTAAATGCGAGTCGATATGAAAAAACAATTGAAATACCAATTCCAAAAATTGAACAAATTGAAACAAATTTTGATTCAGAACACTCTGTACATTTAAATTCATTTCAAACAAATTTAACAAACCGTAAAATTTAAATTTTAGACCAATTACGATTAAATCACCTAAATTCAGAAGAACAACAATTTATTGAAAACTGATGCCTTAAATATCAATTTTTTATCTCGAAGGAGACACATTAACATTCACCAACCAAATTAAACATCAAATAAATTTAACCGATGAAAAACCAATTTTTTCCAAAACATTTCGATATCCAGAAATTCATAAATCTGAAGTACGAAATCAAATGAACAAAATGCTAGATCAAAAAATCATTCAACCTTCGATTAGTCCTTTTTCGAGTCCTATCTAGGTTGTACCCAAAAAACTCGATGCGTCTGGTAAACAAAAATAGCGCGTTGTTGTCGATTACCGCCGCTTGAATGAAAAAAACTATTGATGACAAATATCCCCTTCCTAATATCGAAGATTTACTTGACAAATTAGGCAAATGCCAATATTTCACAACATTAGACTTAGCTTCAGGTTTCCACCAAATAGAAGTTGAAAAACGCGACATTCAAAAAACTGCCTTCTCAACAGAAAATGGACATTTTGAGTATCTAAGAATGCCCTTTGGATTAAAGAACGCACCCTCTACTTTCCAACGAGTAATGAATAATATTATGATTGGTTTACAAGGTGAAATTTGTGCCGTTTATATGGACGACATAATAATTTATTCGACAACTCTTGAACAACACATTGAACGTTTTTAGACAAAGTTTTTCAAAGATTAAGAGATTTAAATTTAAAAATACAACCTGATAAATGCGAATTCTTACGAAAAGAAGTACTCTATTTAGGTCATGTAATTACAAAAGACGGAATTAAACCAAATCCAAACAAAATTAATGCAATAAAAAAATTCCAAATCCGAAAGATCAAAAATCAGTTAAATCATTTCTTGGTCTAACTGGCTATTACCCTAGATTCATAAAAGACTATTCAAAAATTACAAAACCTTTAACAAATCTTTTGCAGAAAAACATAATTTTTAATTTTGACGAAAACTGTTTAAAATCTTTTGAAAAGTGCAAAGAACTTTTGTCAACAACTCCAATTTTAAAATATCCTGATTTCAACGAAGAATTTTTGATTACAACCGATGCAAGTGATTTTGCAATTGGTGCAATTTTGTCACAAGGTTCAATAGGAAACGATCTCCCTATAGCGAATGCAAGTAGAACTTTAAACGGTGCTGAAACAAGGTATAGTACCATAGAAAAAGAATTACTCGCGATAGTTTGGTCTTCCAAAAACATTTTAGACCCTACATTTATGGTAGAAAATTCAAAATTATAACTGACCACAAACCACTTCTATGGCTTTTCCCGATCAAAGACCCTGGTTCTAGACTTGCTCGATGGCGTTTAAAACTTGAAGAATACAATTACGAAATAATACACAAAGCAGGAAAACTGAATAAAAACGCATATG